TTAAGGAGTTCTCAAGCAACAATTCTGAACAGCCTCAAAGAAGTACTGTATGTCAGAAATGGAAGATGAATTGATTTTCCTATTTCTCATCCCTGAACAGAACTGAAACACTCCAGTAAATACTTCAGGCTCACACATTATTTTGAACTAAATGGTTACATTTACTGATTTTTTTTTAACTGAAATTCAAACTCGCTATGTCTGTGCTAAGCAACAATAAAAATTGTGATAAAACTGTATCTTCCATCCAGCCTCTTATGCAAATTTTCTAAACTTTTACTTCTCTACCTTCCAAAACAGGTTGCTTTTCTACAGCACCACTACAGCATTTATCCTTCCTGCTCTCTCCTAAGGCCAGTAAGAGTGTTACAGTTCTAATCGTAGGGCTTGTCCATCAGAGACTACTTTTTCCAGTGCATTTTTTCCTATCAGTGTAAACTGCTTGGCTGCATACCAGCTGCATATAAGCTCTGATCAACCTTCCTTCTCCCCCCGCCCCCCAAAACAAACCCACCAAACTGAGAAGCTGGAATGAATTATACTGTTGTAAGTTTTGTGAGAATATATTCCTACTCTAGTTCAGAAGCAGTATAGCTACATCATTCCTTGTTACTATCCCCCTGCTTCACACAGGGATCTGCCTGTTTACAGGATGCCTTCTAGAACTCCGCACTATCCCCAGCAATTAAGCGTTAATATATATCCAGGTAACGAGGCTTTTCTACAGCATTCATACATTTCATAAAACACACTGGAAACTGTCAAAAAAGTTAGCAAAAATAACAAAAAATCCAGTTTGGGCATGCTTAAACTGCATACGTTTGCTTAGTAGACATTCCCTTTCCCCTCATGCAACTTTTACCTCAACAGCTCAGAAATAATCACTTACTGAAATAAAGAGGTAGGTTCACAAAAATGTAAACAGCCATGGGGGTCACCAAACAGGTGAGGACAAGTTCAATTCCCAACCTTGCCTGAATCTAAGAGATATGTTTAACCTACATCTACTACCTCTGACAAAGTTGCCCCAAATTTGCTATTTCAGAAAATTAAGCTATATGCATTCCTCTGATGTCCTGCAACCTCGGGCAGCCCAGCTAGACAGAGAGACCAGCATCAGTACTGACTTTCATAGAGGGGAAGAACCTCAGCATACAAACCCAGCAGTCAAGAATGTTTATCTGAACAATAAATCTAAATCCAACTCCTGTCTGAAGATAAAACTGTAGAAACAGCAAACTAATTTAATTGGCAAAGTTTTAGAAAGAAAAGGCATACCTTGAATGTTCCCATGAGACCCTGTTCCAAAACAACTATGAACTACACAGCACCAACAGCAGCAAAAGCAAGAATGTAGCCTGATGTCTAGTGCTAACAGAACAAGAAAGAGCGTGCTGCACGCCACAGAATATGACAAGTGGCAGTGTTTGAAGGTGCAAAATCTAAGATAGCATCAGAGAAGCATGGAGGAGCTGAATCCCAGTCCCTCTTGTCCATACCACCTATCAGAAGTGAAACAATCATCCCTAAAAGTACTCATCTCCATAATCAGGCTTTTACCAATTCTGTACCTTTATTATACAATAAAATATTATCAACTGTCAAAAGACTACTTCATGTAAGAGACAGAACATACTGCGTATTGTCACAGACTTCTGTAGGTGAAATATGAAGTCTATTAATAAGGTAAACAGATGAAGTAAACGCTGTTACGTCCATGAGATTGTCACATACATTACCATATTACATACACTGACTCATTCTTGACAATGAATTAGTAGAAGTAATTTCAACTTTACCACAAATGAAAGCAGTGGCTTCTAGTTTGGGGAGCTCTGGAGACCACATTACCTTGATATGAAGGCATTAAGAAAAAAAGTGAAAAGTCAAGTTTCCTAGAAGAGAAGGCCTTATCACCTGGATAAACTTGTAGTTTTCCTTCTCAGAGACAGTTTCAAGATTCTTCAAGCTTGCACAGTAGTCGAGCTAAAAAGAAATACCCACACAATATCATTAAGTGGGCTTGGTGAAAGTAAATAAGCTAACTCAGATGCAACCTAATTACTAAAAAGTTTGAGGACAAAGTAAAAACTTCTTTCAAAAGAAAAGCTATTTTGCAAGCAGACATGATGAGGCTTTAAAAACACAAGACTCTGAAAGACATCCTAACTGCAAAAATTCTTAAACAGTAAACTTCCCTTTACTTAAACTTCAAAAGCTCCCTTCATTTTTTTTTGTAAAAAATTATTTGTGGTGGAAATAACTGTAAGCATGAACAGCAGTTGATTTTTTTTTTTTGCATAGGAATAAATGGATAGTCAAACAAAAATTTAATAAAAACAATAATCCGTATAAATTTCAACACGCTATAGATTGCATCAAAAATCATTTAAAACTGTTTTCCATATCAAGAAAGAAAACAAGCTACTTACCTTATCTAGATTTATAATCAGATAGCTTGGATAGTTTTTCACGAGAGAGACAACTACATGTGAAGCACTGTAGAATAGAAGAAAAACATATTTTACAATTATATAGTTAGCTTTAAGGTAACAAAGAGATGACAAATTACAAATAAGTTCAGCAATATCAAGAGGCTTTGAGGGAAGAGTGGGCTGTAGTCAAGACAGGAGAAAGAGGAATTCACAGATATATTTTAAGATATGCCAACGTTATTCTATTGATAATGCCCATAACTGTATATTGTTAAGAAACTAAAAATCACATTAAAAGTTCATGCTATAACAAAAGAAAGCAGCCCTGCTCACAGCCACCTAAAAAAAACCAACCCACCCCAAACTGTTATATGCGACATTCAGTTGCCATTCTAAAATACTTTCATACTCTTAGTATTAGAGAGAACTAAACAGCCAACTCTCCTAACTCACAATACTGACTCTCAACACTCAACTCTCCGACACTGCTGCTAGGTGTAAGAAGAAATGACAACCTGACTACCAGGCGCCATTTCTCTTTGGTACAGTCTTGTGTACAAGAAGCTCACCCTGAGAGTTCAGGTTTGGCAGGGCTTATTCACATCTCCAGCCCCCCAAGCTGGGGGGTCCGCAGAGAAATCTAGTCCGCTCACAGCTTCAGACTGAGCACGCTGGAGGGCTCAAGCTTAAGATGGACCCGAGCCTTCTCCGCCTCGAGCAGAGCCCACAGCACTGGGGGGCGGAGGTGAGAAACGGCAGTTGGCTCAAAGCACAGCCACCCCCCCACCCCGGTTGAGGCCGAACACCGTCAGCGCGGGGAGG